TGTTAAGATATATTTATAGAAAAGGAAATGCTTATTAAGCAAACTTTGTATAACGTTCTCGTGGGAATGAGAATTAAAATATAAAATTTGATTTTAGAATTGAAATATGATATTCTACTTTTTATTCAAGTTCAATGTTTTTAGTCTCGTTGCAATTAAATAACATGTGGCGTTATGATTTAAAATTGAAATATGATATTCTACTTTTTATTCAAGTTCAATGTTTTTAGTCACGTTGCAATTAAATAACATGTGGCGTTATGATTTAATTGCAACGTTTAATATTTGGAAAGAAATTATATTTTTGGTATTATGGCGTAAGAGAATATATAACTCTCCCCCCGTTAAGCTGGAGGCTCTCCTGAGCTCCATAAGCTGTATTTTCTGTTTTACTATTTTCAATCATATCGTTTGGCTGTTCTTTACATATATTAAATTTTCTTATATGACGTTTTACAGTGAAAATTGTTAAAATAAATATAATAACAATTGAAACGTTTGATATTATTAAGATCTTATGTTTTTTAATTTCTGATTTGACAAATTCTATTTCGTTATAATTTTCAATTTGCTTTAAATTTATGCTTTCTAAATTTGGTATAAAACTTACATTATAAGGTCCTAGGTAATTTGGTATTATTACATGATTAACAATTTTTCTCTCTAAATTTTTGAAAATAACGTCATCGATTTTTATAGTGCAATTATAGTATGAGATTAGGTTAGTTTTTATTAATTTGTATTGTATATTATTACAAGTATTGTCAAGAATTACATTTTTTGCATTTTTTACTAAAATCATATTAGAAGAAATTTCTGTAATGTCAAAATTAATATTTTTTCTTTTTGTACAATTCTTAAAACTATTATTCATCAAATTTTTTATGCAACCATTTATTAGCTTAAGTTTTGATTCACAATTTTGTTTGTTATTAAAGTAAATTTTGTTTTTAAATTTTAAAATGTCAGTAGATTCAATGCTTATTTCTTCGAAGTTGTTGTTAGGTACTGAAATAATTTTATATCCGATGGCGGGTTCCTTAGCAATATTAGGAATTAGTTTAGCAAAAATAATGTTATTATCTAAACTAAGAAGTGAACTTTTAATTTCCTTATATTTGAAAACGTCAATTTGAAATTCGTCGATTTCTTCGTTGGACAAAATGGAGTGAGTCATGATGACGTGTTTAGCGAAAAGAATGTTTTGTTGAACTTTGTCTATTTCTGAATTTAGTAGGTTAATATTTGTGTAACTAGAAAGAAACTGTAAACTTTTTATATTTTTGCTAAAGGTGTTGTTTTGTTCTCTTAGTGTAATATTTAAAATTTCTTGGTTATCGTTAATTCGTTTCTGCAGAATATTTAGGTTTGTCTGAAATTGGTCGTTTATTCTAATCTGTTTATTTATGGTCTGAATGGAGTTGTAGTTTCCCTGTTCGATAAGTTTTGTGTTTTCTACAATTTCATTTTTGTCATCGTCGTCTAAGTTTCCAAATAACCATTTTAAAACTTTGCCACCTAAATTAATGAGTCCTCGTTTTTGTCTATGTGGTAGTAGTGTTTTAATGTTATGTCGAGTTTTTTCGATTTGTATTTTTAATTGTTTTAATGTGGTATTGACTTGGTTGAAAATGTTGTAAGTATTATTTTCAATTTGTGCTAATGTATTTTCTAGTTCACTAACATTTATAAAGTGGAGAATTTTGGAATAGTTTTGAATTATGGGAATTTCTTCCTGTTTAATTAACTGGAATCCGCCTTGATTTTCCAATACCTGAACATCAATTGTTGCAAAAGAATTGTTTTCAACGGAAAGTAAAATTAATAGCATTAGCTTAATTTTGTGTTGGTGATGATTTTGTGGGACCTGCGAAAAATTTAAAATTTCTTTTTATTCTACTGGGGTGAATATTTCTATTCTGATTATCTTTCAATTTACCGTTAGTTGGTTTAGATTTAATATAAGTATATCTCTTTTTATGCTTATATCTTAAGACTTCAGGATTTTTAACGAGAACTTTATTTCTATCTTTATAATCAAAATCTATTCTATCTTTATTAAGTTTTTCGATTGTTTTAAGCTTATTTTCATCAATTAATTTTTTAATCTTTTCAATGTCGGGTATTTCGTTATTTATAAAATTTATAGGCTTAACTTTAGTAACCGAATGGATGGAATTATTATATTTTTCAACTGCAAATAGTACCTTTTCATATGGTGTTAAATTTGATTTTTGTGTATCTAATATACGAAGACGTTCGCTCAGAGTTCCGTGAGCTCTTTCGATTGTAGAATTCCCGGTATGATTTCGGGGAGACGTAAAGTGAGCGTTTATATTTTCAGTTCTAAGAAAGTTTTTAATATTAAGGGTGTCGAACTCGTTATCGAAAACGATCTTATCTGGTTTACCGAATGTTGCAAACCTGTTGCGAAGAGCCTGTATAATAGTCATTGCATTACGGTCGTTAAGACGTTGGATCATTAAATGTTTAGTGAATTTGTCGATTATTGTGAGGAATATTTCTTTGTAGCAAAAGAATAAATCGGCATGAATTATTTTGTTAGGAGAGCTCGGAGTTTCGGATATTTCGAACTTATATTTGTTGGGTTTACGGTCATATTTAGATTGGTTACAAATGTCGCAGTTGTTTATGTATTTGTGAAACAGTTCTTTCAATTTAGGGAAAAAGAATTCATCTTTCACCCCTGTGTAATTTTCAATAATACCTCTATGGTTCGATTCATTATGGGTTTTTTCTATTAATTTTAAAGCCTCTTCTTCATTTTCTATATCGATTGCTTTTTTTGTACATTTTATGAATTTAATTTTATTATTATTAGAAAAGAGTTCTATAAGTTTTTGTTCTACTGTATTGAATCTTTCGTCATTTAATTCCGAATAGATAGCTGTTATTCCATTTTTAATAAATCTTCTTAGTATATCGTTTAAATAATGTTCATTATTAATTTCTTGTTCACTAATAAAATTTGCCTAAATTTTTTATATTTAAGATTACTTCCCTTTCCTTTTCTTTTGTCAAATAGAGCTGTGTCAAATATTTATTAATTATTATATCAGATGTAGGAAATTGATTTTCATGGCGACTATGGTTTGTTGTTATAACCGAATTGTTAGAAGGTATTTCATTAGAGTCATCTATATGATTAATTTCGTTAGTTGTCGAATCCACGCTACTTAAAAAATCGGCGACACGATTTTCTTTTCCCTTCACATAGTCTATTTCAAAGTCGTATTCGTTTAATCTGATTCGCCATCTTTGTAATTTGGCATTTGGTTCCTTTAATGAATGCAACCATTTTAAGGGTTGGTGGTCTGTTCTTATTAGGAATTTTGTAATATATAAGTATGGCCGAAAATATTTAGTGGCCCATACTATGGCGAGAAGCTCCTTCTCTATAGTAGAGTAATTGCATTCGTGATTATTAAGGGTTCTGCTAGCAAAGCAGACCGGATGATTTTCTTGCGAGAGGACTGCTCCAATCGCGAAGTTAGACGCGTCCGTTGTTAATACAAATTTCTTTTTGAAGTCAGAGTAACGGAGTATGGGATAACTGGCTATTAATGTTTTTAATTTTTCGAAGGAGTCTTTATATTGTATGTCATTTACATCGATTTTATTGCCTTTTCTCAAATATTTAGTTATAGGCTGGGCTACCTTGGCATAGTCCCTGATGAACTTGCGATAGTAGCCCGTAATGCCCAAGAAACTTTTTATCTGCCTCGGAGTTTTAGGCAGATTGATTTGTTTAATTACATTAATTTTATCTTCGTTTGGTTTTATTCCCTCTGGTGTTAGAATGTGTCCTAGATACTCAGTCTCTTTCGAGAAAAATTTGCATTTATCCACTTGTATTTTTAAGTTGAACTCTCTTAGTTTTGAAAATATTTTATTAATTGCTGAAAGGTGTTCTTGCAGTGACGTAGAGAAAATGAGGATGTCATCTAAATAAACAACGCAGATTCGCCCGATAAAGTCCTTTAAGACAAAGTTGATCATCCTTTGAAAAGTCGCCGGAGCATTCCTCAGGCCGAATGGCATCCGTACGAACTCAAAGTGACCCTGCGGTGTGGAGAACGCGGTCTTGAGACGATCCTTTTCATCCACTAATATCTGGTGAAACCCCTTTGCGAGGTCCAGAGTGGTGAAATATTGAGCCCGACCCAATTTATCGAATATAGAATCTATATTCGGTATCGGGAATTTGTCATCAACCGTAATTTCATTTAACTTACGGTAGTCGATGACAATGCGCCACTTTTGTTTGCCCGAGTAGTCCAACTTTTTTGGAACTACCCATATAGGGCTATTATAAGGACTATTGGATGGTTGAATAATATTTTGTTCTAACATTTCTTGCACTTGCCTATTTACTTCCTCTTCATGTATCTTTGGAAACCGATATATCTTACTATATATCGGCTGGGAAGTAGTTGTGATAATTTGGTGCTTTACACTTTTGACACATGTTAGTCGGTCTCCTTCTTTATAGAATAGATCTTTATTGGAATTTAAGATATATTTTAATGTTTTCACTTTTTCTGTATTCATATTTTTGTTTAATAGTTTTTCGAATAATTCATTGTGGTTAATTTGTAAGGGTTCTATTTGACAAATATTTTTGAAAGGATAAGCTGAATTGAATTTAATTTTGCGATTGTTAATTTCAAACCACCCTTTCGAAAGATTAATGTTTGCTCCTATTGGTTTTAAAATATTTTGGCCTATGAGAGCGTCAAAGTTTCTGTTGCTAAGGTCCATTATTTTCCAAGACATAGTTGAATTTTCATTGAACTCGTCAGGTACTTTTGTAGTTATTTCATATTTAATGGCCTGGTTTCCTGCGAGTGTTTTTAATTGAATTGGATTTTCTAATTTATTTTGTTTGGATCGATCAAAGATATTGCCGTTTATAATTGAAGTAACTGATCCAGTGTCGATCAGACAGGTCAGTTCCCTGCCTTCTATTGTTAAGTCTACTAAGGGTAATGTCGGACAAGAGGACCACAGTGAAAATTTTCAGTGGAATGCGAATCTACGTCCATTGGAACTGGAATTGACCGATTTTTGTTATAAGATGGTCCTGGTGGGTTATTACTAGTATTATCAAACTGTTGGTTGGGTCTAAAATTCCTAAAATTCTCGTTAGCAGTATAGTTTTTGCCTATTGGTCTGTTTGTGTAAGTGTTTCTTATGTTGTTATTGTAATTGTTGTTGTTGAAAGGCCTGTTTGTGTTTCTATGGTTATTTCTTGAATTTGTGTTATTATTTCTAAAATTTGAGTTGTGATTATTTCTAAAGTTTGTATTACTATTGTTCCTATATGAGAAGTTATTGCCAGGAATCCTACTATCGGATATATTTGTTTCTAACAAGCTTCTATAGGCTTGTTCTAATGATTTTACGCTTTTTGTGCGTAAAAACATTGAATCTACCCGATCTATTTTGTTTAAAAATTTTTCTACTATTGAGATTTCGTTATTGCTTGGACTGAATTCAACAGGTTTGCTGTCGTCCAAGTCGTATTTCAAGTTTAATAAATTTAATATAGAATTTAACTTAGTATACAAATCACTTACATTTTTACAGGTTGTGGAATCAGCTTCTTCTTTTAGTTTTAAGTAGCTCTTTTGAACACCAAATGTTGTCTTTAGTTGTCCTTTCTTTAGTTGGATTCTCCTGACTGCTGCGGCTGCTGGACCTTGAATCTTGGAGTACAAGATTCTATATATGTAATTTCTGCCTTCCTCATCCGTTGTCAACCTTACGAGGGCTTCGACTTCCTCGATAAATGATTTGAGACTATAAGCGTCTTGTCCAGTGAATGTTGGCACTGAACGCGCTTCGCTTATTAAATCTCTTAATGTAATAGCACTTAATGACATATTGAAACTTTTTTGTATTTCTTTCAACTGGTCTAAATATTTTTCTTTTTCGATTTTTTTCATTCAATTAAATTGAGGTTAAAATTAAATTTTACTTTGTTACGTTATATAAAAAAAAAATTTTTTTTTTTTTTTTTTCTTTTTTATTTATTCTTTTTTTTTGATATTATGAGTTCGGTCTTATCAATAAATAAAAAGAACTTCTAGATCGAGATAAAAGATGATTTTTCCTGTGTTTCTCTTCCTTTTTTTTTTTTTTTTTTTTTTTTTTTCAGTTTCACTTTTACATACCGAAAATAACTTTTGAAAAAGTTCTCCGTCCTTGCTTCAAAACTTTAACACAATGTTTTTATTTTTCTAAAATTTCTTTTGTTCATTTAAATTAACTTTTAGAAAAAAAAAATTTGAGTGTTTTTCTTTTTTTTTCTCTTGTTTTGATTTTATTTTGTTTTTGCACAGACGGAGTCGGTATCCTACCGACTGCGCCAATTAAATTTTATTTTCAGTCAAAACACAAAAAAAATTGTTCTCTTTTATTTATTCAAACCGTTCTTTATTTTTTTTATTTCCTTTATTTAAATAATTTTATTTCACAATTTCTTAATTTTAATTATGTCACAATTTCTTAATTTTAACTATCTCACAATTTCTTAATTTTAACTCACAAGAATCGTTTTTATATATTTTTATTATTTTACGATTATAAAATTATAAGAACTTAAACTAACAGCAAAACGATTTGATCGATCCGAAAATTGTTATAAAACTACCAAGCGAAGACTTTCAGGTGTTAAGATATATTTATAGAAAAGGAAATGCTTATTAAGCAAACTTTGTATAACGTTCTCGTGGGAACGAGAATTAAAATATAAAATTTGATTTTAGAATTGAAATATGATATTCTACTTTTTATTCAAGTTCAATGTTTTTAGTCTCGTTGCAATTAAATAACATGTGGCGTTATGATTTAAAATTGAAATATGATATTCTACTTTTTATTCAAGTTCAATGTTTTTAGTCACGTTGCAATTAAATAACATGTGGCGTTATGATTTAATTGCAACGTTTAATATTTGGAAAGAAATTATATTTTTGGTATTATGGCGTAAGAGAATATATAACTTGTACATATGAATGTATTAAAATTTAGCATTTTACAGTTTTTCGTTTGGAACAATAATAATAAAATTCTAACTACATACGTACATATATTCTGTATGTATATTTCTTTAAAGCTTGCTGACGAAACGTAATGTTCAAAACAACAACAAATGAAATATTGATATTCAGATGTCACAAAACATCTGATGTCTGATAAAAGCTGAAATTTATTTACGTTAAGATTAATTCATTTATGCGAACCAAAAATATGTGAGATCATTATATTTCAAATATTATTTATTTCTCGGTTTGTGTTTCTAATATGTTAATAACGTAAAACGTGTCATTTATTTCTTGGTTTGTGTAATTATAAAAAGTATAAAAGAAAAACGTGCTTTTGTTATACAAAAATTTTTTCAGAAAATCTTAAACTAGAGCTATTTCGAGGCTAAAAAGTTCCAATATCAAATTTTTCTGAGACCCTAGAGGCAAAACTCTACCTAATGCCCTTTGTCCCTTGTCTCTAGCCCTTCTAGAAGTACCCGTACTTTTTACCACCTGAGAAGTAGCTATATATATATAATGTAAAATATGATGGTTTTTGAAGAGTTATACGAAATATAAATGAAATATAGAATTATAAAGGCAAATTCAAGGTGCGTCGTAGCCTAGTGGGTAGCGTGGTAGTCTGATAGCCAGAAGGTTATTGGATCAATGCTTGCCTGGATAGTGTCATATTTTTCTTTTTTTGGATTATTTTAAAAATTTTTTTTTTATTTTGTTTAAATTTTGTGTTTAATTTTTTTTTTAATATATAACAGATAAATATTATTATAAAAATTTAAAGAAAATTTCCAAAAAAAAAAATTGTTACAATAGTTAAGTACATAAATATGTATGTATATATTTTTTTAAAGCTTCCTAACTAATTTTTTTAAGCTTTCTATATGAATTGAATAATATTCAAATTTGTGGTTTGGCATATAGAAACACATAATTATTAAATCATGGGGGAAACATAAGAAATAAATTTTTCAAATAAAGAAAAGGTTTAGGCATAAATAAAATAATATTTTTATTCAAATATATGTATGAACATTAATGTATTAGAATTGAACATTTTAAAATTTTTTGTTCAAAAAATTTGAAATAAAATTTTAAGCAAAAACGTACATAATTATGAATGTATACCTATTTTTTTAAAACTGCGGGTGAACATATAGAAATAAGCTTCTCAAATAAAGAAAAGTTTTAGATTAAAATAAAATAATAATTGTATTCAAATATATGTATGTACATATGAATGTAGTTTTTCAAATAAACAAAAGGTTTAGGCAAAACAAAATAATAATTTTATTCAAATATATGTATGTACATATGAATGTATTAAAATTTAGCATTTTACAGTTTTTCGTTTGAAACAATAATAATAAAATTCTAACTACATACGTAGGTATATTCTGTATGTATATTTTTTTAAAGCTTTCTGACGAAGCGTAATGTTCAAAACAACAACAAATGAAATATTGATATTCAGATGTCACAAAACATCTGATGTCTGATAAAAGCTGACATTTATTTACGTTAAGATTAATTCGATTATGCGAACCAAAAATACGTGAAATCATTATATTTTCAAATATTATATTTTATTTCCCGGTTTGTGTTTCTAATATGTTAATAACGTAAAACGTATCATTTATTTCTTGGTTTGTGTTTCTAATTATAAAAAGTATAAAAGAAAAACGTGCTTTTGTTATACAAAAATTTTTTCAGAAAATCTTAAAATAGAGCTATTTCGAGGCTAAAAAGTTCCAATATCAAATTTTTCTGGGACCCTAAAGGTAAAACTCTACCTAATGCCTTTTGTCGCATGTCTCTAGCCCTTGTAGAAGTACCCGTACTTTTTAAAACCTGAGAAGTAGCTATATATATATAATGTAAAATAGGATGGTTTTTGAAGAGTTATACGAAATATGAATGAAATATAGAATTATAAAGGGAAATTCAAGGTACTGCGTAGCCTAGTGGGTAGCGTGGTAGTCTGATACCCAGAAGGTTATTGGATCAATGCTTGCCTGGATGGTGTCATATTTTTCTTTTTTTGGATTATTTTAAAAATTTTTTTTTATTTTGTTTAAATTTTGTGTTTAATTTTTTTTTTAATATATAACAGATAAATATTATTATAAAAGTTTAAAGAAAATTTCCAAAACAAAATTGTTACAATAGTTAAGTACATAAATATGTATGTATATATTTTTTTAAAGCTTCCTAACTAATTTTTTTAAGCTTTCTATATGAATTGAATAATATTCAAATTTGTGGTTTGGCATATAGAAACACATAATTATTAAATCATGGGGGAAACATAAGAAATAAATTTTTCAAATAAAGAAAAGGTTTAGGCAAAAATAAAATAATATTTTTATTCAAATATATGTATGAACATTAATGTATTAGAATTGAACATTTTAAAATTTTTTGTTCAAAAAATTTGAAATAAAATTTTAAGCAAAAACGTACATAATTATGAATGTATACCTATTTTTTTAAAAGTGCGGGTGAACATATAGAAATAAGTTTCTCAAATAAAGAAAAGGTTTAGATTAAAATAAAATAATAATTGTATTCAAATATATGTATGTACATATGAATGTAGTTTTTCAAATAAAGAAAAGGTTTAGGCAAAAACAAAATAATAATTTTATTCAAATATATGTATGTACATATGAATATATTAAAATTTAGCATTTTACAGTTTTTCGTTTGGAACAATAATAATAAATATCAGACATATTGCGGGTGAATAAATATCAGACATATTGCGGATATACATATTCTGTATGTATATTTTTTTAAAGCTTGCTGACGAAACGTAATGTTCAAAACAACAACAAATGAAATATTGATATTCAGATGCCACAAAACATCTGATGTCTGATAAAAGCTGACATTTATTTACGTTAAGATTAATTCGATTATGCGAACCAAAAATATGTGAGATCATTCTATTTTCAAATATTATTTATTTCCCGGTTTGTGTTTCTAATATGTTAATAACGTAAAACGTATCATTTATTTCTTGGTTTGTGTTTCTAATTATAAAAAGTATAAAAGAAAAACGTGCTTTTGTTATACAAAAATTTTTTCAGAAAATCTTAAAATAGAGCTATTTCGAGGCTAAAAAGTTCCAATGTCAGATTTTTCTGGGACCCTAGAGGCAAAACTCTACCTAAAGCCTTTTGTCCCATGTCTCTAGCCCTTCTAGAAGTACCCGCACTTTTTACCACCTGAGAAGTAGCTATATATATATAATGTAAAATAGGATGGTTTTTGAAGAGTTATACGAAATATGAATAAAATATAGAATTATAAAGGGATATTCAAGGCACTGCGTAGCCTAGTGGGTAGCGTGGTAGTCTGATAGCCAGAAGGTTATTGGATCAATGCTTGCCTGGATGGTGTCATATTTTGTTTTTGTGGATTATTTTAGAATTTTTTTTTTTATTTTGTTTAAATTTTGTGTTTTATTTTTTTTTAAATATATAATAGATAAATGTTATTATAAAAGTTTAAAGAAAATTTCCAAAAAAAAATTGTTACAATAGTTAAGTACATAAATATGTATGTATATATTTTTTTAAAGCTTCCTAACTAATTTTTTTAAGCTTTCTATATGAATTGAATAATATTCAAATTTGTGGTTTGGCATATAGAAACACATAATTATTAAATCTTGGGGGAAACATAAGAAATAAATTTTTCAAATAAAGAAAAGGTTTAGGCATAAATAAAATAATATTTTTATTCAAATATATGTATGAACATTAATGTATTAGAATTGAACATTTTAAAATTTTTTGTTCAAAAAATTTGAAATAAAATTTTAAGCAAAA